GCTTTCGCTCTCAGCTATGGACTTGTGAATCTCCTGAGAGAAAGGAGATCCCACACAGGGCAAGCTCCTCAGGCACTGTCTGCTTCAAATCTGCTGAAGAGACTTCACGGCCTCAGGAAAAACATCCGTCTGCCCTGTGATCCCTCTTTCTGATTCTTTGTCCTCTCGTGATTGCCTGTCCCAGGACAGGACTCTAAGGCGACACAGCTGAGACTCACCTAGTGAAATGGACGTGCATGCATAAAGGAGGGATTTAAAAGACGAGTAGGATTTGGTCTACCCTCTGTGTCCTAGTAGGACAGAGAAAGACAGTACTTACTGATACTTACACCGTCATCAATGCACTGAGGTTGGGGCTCACATACTAGCAAAGAAAAGTGTCCTCCTCTCTGGAGAATTCGAAGTTTCCATTGGACAGTAAAGGTGGCAACTCACAAATAAAAACCCACCCAGACGAAAGTATGTCCTCCTCTGCTAGGCTAGAAGCTTTGCAGACTAGTGTCTGGATGGGTTTCTTTTGTTTTAATTGTACCCTCAGCGTCCTGTCCTTAACTACTTTCTTTTTATTTATTTATTATTTTTTAAAAATATATTTGATTGATTTTTTACAGAGAGGAAGAGAGAGGGACAGAGAGTTAGAAACATCGATGAGAGAGAATCATCAATCAGCTGCCTCTTGCACACCCGCACACCCCCTACTGGGGATGTGCCGGCAACCAAGGTACATGCCCTTGACAGGAATTGAACCTGGGATCTTTCAGTCTGCAAGCCGACGCTCTCTCCACTGAGCCAAACTGGTTTCGGCCTTAACTACTTTCTAACAAGTGTGAAGTGGATGTTAGAAATTAAGACTGAGTAGATCAATTATTTAGCTTTAAGTGCCTACAGCCCTATCTACCAAGTTCCATATGCGCTCACACAGATGTTCACACAAATCACAATGCTGGGATCCATTTCCTTGGAAATTTGCTCTTTGAGTAACAGTGAGCATTGAGAACATGTAGTTTATTCATTGCTCTGCTCAGGTTTTCTATTAAAATGAAGGAATCCTTACCACACTGCCTAAAGCCACATCTCTCCCTAGTTTTCCTAATGTCCCAATTCTCTAAGAACCCAATGGAAAGGAAACCTGCCCAGTTGGTGTTGCTCAGTGTTTAAGCGTGGGCCTTTTAATCCTGAGCTCAAGGGTTCGATTCTTGGTTAGGGCACACGTCCAGGTTTCTACTTGGTCCCTATCTCAAAGCCTGCAGGAGGCAGCCAACTCTCAATAATGTTTCTATCTCTGTCTCCTTTCTTCTCTCTCAAAACCAACAAATACATACTAAAGAAAGAAAGGAAACCCACCTGAAATCGGTCTGTGCTCCTCCGGTTGTCAGCAGTTCCTCAGGGCAATCTGTGCTTGACCATCCGCACTGGACGCCAGGCAGCTCTGAAGGTGCCGGAGGCAGGGTCACGGGGAGAGCGTGTAGTGCTGGAGGACTATATGCTGGGTTTAGGTCACGTGGCACGTGGGCGGTGACCATTCAATTAGCATAATCCTCCAGAAGGAAACAGGGCTTGAAGCGAAGCTCTGCGGCGGGTCCTTTAGGGTTTTCAGGCCTTTTCACTTTATATGGACCCACGTGCTCACTATTAGGAAGATGGACCTTCTGTAAGAAAAACAAATGTTTGTGGGTGCACCTGCTGTTTCCTTCAGCGCTTTGCCTTGTTGAAAGTGATGCCATGCGTGGGAGAGAGAGTGTCTCGGAATACACAGAGTTTAGAGAGCTCTGGCAAGAAGTCCATTCACAGTGTGTGCAGCCCATGAAATGGCCAACCCCCAGAACTCTTCAGGTTTCCAAATGAAGCTCCGAGTCCGTGAAAATCCTCCCTTCTTCCTGGCCTCGCTGCTCACCGTCTTCTGCCCTTGTCTCCTCTGTGCCTGGGAGGCGGAGCCCAGGAGATGCACAGGAATGGAGCCCCCAATGTTGGCCTTGTACCATTACCTGGTTTTACACTTTGCCTAGTGACTCAAGTCACTTTCCCCAGGCATTCCATGTGGGCACACCGATGGCTGTGTGGCCACAGGTGACAGTATTTTCCTGGGGTGGATGTCCAGGAGCTGGGACTTTCTCTTTTAGGCGATTCTCCTCCTGGGAGATACCTGAGAGTTTCTTCAGGTGCTCATGCACTGGCATCTGGCCATGGAGAGTGTGAGGCACAGGCCTAGGTTTTTACTAAGAGACACTGAGGAAGAGAAACTCAAATAATCACCCTTTAGTTGTTTTTTTTCCTTCCCTCCAGGGAGTATTTTGTTTAAAGCAGGTCATCCAATCCACTCTGGGTAGTTTCCCATCTTATAATTTGCATATGTTTGAACCCCAGTTGCCTTCCCATTTGTCTTTCCTCTTTTATGGATGAATGTGCCTCCCTGGTGACCCTGGAAACCTGGCTCCTCCCCTTGGGTCCCTACACTCTGGGGCTCATCTTGGTCACTGAGTCTCCTGGGGCTGCCTGCACCTGCTGGTCCTGCCTCTGACATTAACTCACCGTGGCCCACTTTCCAGCTGGACAAGGTGGGACCGCCCACTTTCAGAATCACTAACCCAAGTCAGATTTAACAGTGACCTGCCTGAAAAATGGAATTATATGAAAATGGCACGTTCATCTAATTCTTATAATTAGTTGTTCAATTTGTTTCTCATGTCTGCAATGGAATATATCAGAATTATGAAATTTATTGAAAGTATTTTCATGTGAAAAATTTTCCCAACTCTGAATGTGTTAACTACCACTTATTCAATGTCACATATTTCAGTTAGGGGTGTTTTACATTTTTTTTATAAAGAACTTTAGAAATTCTTTTCAAATTGGACTTTAAAAAATTGTGCTGTATATTGTCAGTAATCATTATTCTAAATCATCTCACATAGTAGTTGAGTATCTTGGTATAAAATGTGAGGTTGGGTGGGCTTCTTATGAAACGGCCAGGTCTCCTATGCTACACTGGACTCTCCCTTGGACCCTGAAGTCTGACCTGCATTGCATATCATGTCTCCAGCAGGACATCACACTGATGGACCATCAGTCCTCCTGGGAGCATCTGGGTCCCCACATCTCAACCCATTGATGTTGACCGCAGCTTCTTCTATGCTCCTGGGCCAGTGGGAGGAGGGGGGATAAAGGAAGAAGGGACTGAGTGAGCACCAGTGCATCTGGCCTCCTTTGGTGGAGATGGAAATGTCTGAGTGTTTTCAGAGGGACAGATGCCCACTTTGAGATTTACTATTATACCAAGGGCATCACCTTTCCACGGACACATGACAGGACATTGAAAATCCAGAGGTGCACAGCCTTGGGATGTCCTTGGCATAAGTTGTTAGAAATAGTGCCTCCTATGCACCTAAGCTGACCTGGACCCACCTTCTAATGAAAACAAGGACATGAAATCACACACTTTGAGAGGTGTTTGCTCAGAATTGCAGCTGAATTCAACTACAGATGGGAGGAAGCTATTCTCGCAGGCAGACCTTAATACACTTAATTCCTCATCTTCCTCAGTTGTGGTTAACATTTCCCCACCCTGCCTCTACAGTGAAATCACCTGGAGAGAGATTTTAGAAAAAAAGTATATTTCCATTTCAACCACAGCATTACTCCTCTACTGGGTCTCACCGAGGCCCATGGTTTAGGAATGGTGATTGTTGGGAAGAGCACAGGTCAGCACGTTAATGTTTAGGTTCAATAGGGGTGTTTGTTGAAGGCCAATATTTTCTTTTCTTCTTCTTTTTTTTTTTTAAAAAAAAATTTATTGATTTTTTACAGAGAGGAAGGGGGAGGGATAGAGAGTTTGAAACATTAATCAGCTGTACACCCGCTCCTGGGGATGTGCCTGCAACCAAGGTACATGCCCTTGCCCAGAATCAAACCTGGGACATTTCAATCTGCAGGCTGATGCTCTATCCACTGAACCAAACCGATTTGGGCAAAGGAAACATTTTCATCTCTAGGAACAAAGTGGGAAAATCCGTTCATTTTGTTTGGGCAAGCAAATTTTCTTAATTATTTAAAAAGCATCTTAAGGACTGCCTAATAGGATTATTACAGCTTTATTTACAGGGCTGCTCCTTGGGGTGGAGGAGAAACAGCTGGGGTTCAATTTGGGTTAGTGGTGTGCAAAAATACAGATTTAACTAAGATATGGAGAGTGCTAGAGACTTTCAGTCTATCCCTCCACCGCCACCATGTAGCTCAATCAGAGCTTTTAGAATAAAAATCAAGAGCTTTCTGGGTCTGTGTGGGCAGCATTCTGTCTTCTGTCCTCAAATTGTAGAGATATAGGCAGAGGTACCAGCAAGACTTTAGGTGAGATGCCTTTGATATGCCCTCATGACCTTGCCTGAGCAGATTCATGTTACTCAGAGAAACCTGGCCCATGGGTTTTGTCAGCATCAGGGCCTGGAAGGAAACCAGCGTGTTAAAGGGAACATAAATAAATGGACCTGAGGTGTGTGGAAGGAGCCACTGGGAAAAGGGCTGTGTGAACCTGAGTCCTGGTTCTCTCCCCACCAGCCAAGAGGTACAGTGTTGAATGTATGCGTTCAAAACTTCAAAAGGAAAAGTAGAACACCAATAGACAGCCTTTTTAAGCAACAGATTTTATTGTTGCTATATTTAAAATTGAATTTCTTACAAAATTTCACATAGAATGTTTCCAGATCAATGTTAGCCTCTTACATCTGATGCCACAAGTTTTATTGACAATTTTTATTTCCTCAAAAGATCAATTATTTGCTGAGTTGTGTGTTGGAGAATTCTTTAACAAGTTGGTGATACATAGATTTTTAGACATTGTTTACTGAGGGTTTCTTTCATGTGTGAATGTATATGCTGTGTGTGTGTGTGTGTGTGTGTGTGTGTGTGTGTGAAAACTTGTGCTGGTGGGTTTAAATTATAAAGCTATGATTGATGTTCTTCCACATTTATTACGTGTGCAATGCCATCTCTTGTGCAGCCAGGTCAGACTATCTACTGAAGGCTTTCATGATTTTCTCTCCTGTGTTGGGTTCCCTCATGCCTTCTAAGGGAAGAAGAATGACTAAAGGCTCTGCCACAAAGCTTACATGCATAAGGCTGTTCTCCAGTGTGGGTCCTCTGGTGTCTTGTGAGATTAGCTTGTTGACTGAAGGCATTCCCACACTGACTACATTCATATGGTTTTTCTCCGGTGTGTGTTCTTTTGTGACGTGTTAGCTCAGAACTTTGACTGAAAGCCTTATCACATATGGAACATACATGTGGTTTCTCCCCACTGTGAATTTTCTTGTGCTGGCTAAGGCCAGAACTTTGATTAAAGGATTTCCCACACTGATGACATTTATACAGTTTCTCCCCGGGATGGATTCTCTCATGTTTTCTAAGGTAAGATCTTTGACTGAAAGCTTTGTCACATAGGGGACATTCATATGGTTTCTCTCCTGTGTGAATTGCTACATGCTGTCTAAGGTAAGAACTCTGACTGAAGGTTTTCCTACACTCATCACACTTATAAGGCTTTTCTCCAGTGTGCATTCGTTTGTGGTTTCTAAGGTCAGACTTTTGCAAAAAGCCTTTCCCACATACATTACATTTAAATGGTTTCTCTTCACTGTGAATCATCTTGTGTCGTCTGAGGCTGAAGACACTACTAAAGCCTTTCCCACATTTACATATATTACCCCTGGTGTGACTTTCATTGTATCTACGAAGGCATGACTCTTCTCTAGGTGACTTTCCACGCTGCTGGCTCACATGAGGTTTCTTTCTTATATGAATTAAAGAATGTCGATTCACAGATGATCTATGAGTAAATTCATCACTCAACTCAGTACTTTCCCCTGCCATCTGGCCTTGGGGAAACCCAGTCCCTTCACTCTTCAGCTGTCCTTGTTCGGGCTGGAAAGTCACACCCAAGTTGCAGATTCGATACCCTGTTTGTGGAAGAAAGGTAAATGGATTATGAGTCCTGAGCAAAGCAACCATTGCAGTTAACACGTCTAAGATAGATTACTGACGAGGAACACAGAGGTGAATGAAGGCGGGTCTTGGCAACAACGCTTTCTCTAGAGAAAGCATTGCAGGTCCTGTATCAAACCAGGAAGAAACACAGACATGTGGCCAATGCAGGAAATACTGATTGATATTTATTTCCATGATCAAGTTCAGTTTTCTCAAAATGTGAGAGGTTAATGTCTCCACAGTGGGTTCAGTATTATTTTCACACAGAACCCAATAAACATAATTTCCATAACAGTAGTTAAAATGTTCTTACTTTCAATACTCTTCTCTTAAGTCTCCAAGTACACAAGAACATAACAAGTAGTTTAAAGTTTTTAATATAGATTAACGATATCCATTGATTTCTCTTTTATAATTTGAGTGTTGGAGACAGAGTCGCAAAGTGATATGAACTTGTGGTCAAGATGAAATTTTAATGTGGAGATGAAAACAAAATGTAAAAACACAAACCTCCTTCTAAGCAGATATGATGGTTATGAGAGAACCAGGGCAGTGCCTGGAGCAAGATAGTAGCAGCTGTTCTATGTCTGAAGGAATGGACACTTACATACATAGATACACTTACCACCTTACATATACAGACACATCTGCGCACGCGCGCGCGCACACACACACACACACACACACACACACACACACACACATGTTTTAGGACTCACCCATAGAGACCAGGTCGCTGATGTTCTCCAGCACCACATCTCTGTACAACTTCTTCTGAGGAGTGTCCAGCAGGGCCCACTCCTCCTGGGTGAAGTCAACAGCCACATCCTCAAAGGTCACTGATTCCTAAAACATGGACATCCCAGATTAAACGGAGCGCTTCCTGCCAGAGTGCGGAGGAGGAGGGTTGGGATGACAGCATTGAGGAATGGTGGGGAGCTGGGTGTATGGAAATATCTGTATTTGGGGTTCTACTTAGGTTACTGTGAGTGTGGAACCGGTGTTATGCCTTTTAAACACATTCATAGGAACAGGCCAGGTATGAATTCATATTCTGCTTTGTGAACAGAGATGACAAGATGTAAATGATTTGCTCACATACACCCATACATTTCTTGCTCACATATCAGTTCTAAATGTCAGTCAGTAATTGTCTCTGGTGAAAATACTTCAAGCACGCACATGTTCTGTGACTTGGCAAGCACAAATATTCTCATATTCTCTCTTTTTAGTATCACAATCAGAGAGTTATTAGATAAATTTGGAAGATTATAGTATGTTTCAACAAGTAGCTAACGAACTGATTTTATGATATTATCTCTGTTTAATACTCAGATAATTGTTTTGGCTCTTCTAATTTCTTCCCTGATTTCAAACTATCAAAAAGTTTTTGCTTGGAAAAAGCTTAATCCTAAATTAACTATGTAATTCCATTCAGGCAGTTGCGTTCATGACTAACTTATCTCATCGCCACATATTTAATTTGGATGATTAATTTCACATCTATTAGCCTTACCATTGGCATGGTGGGGGACATGCCCTTCTTGCTGAGCCGCTGCATTAATATTGTCTCTGGTCTTTTAAGGGGATCTCTCATGCCTAAGGGGAATGAAAAAGTGTAACTTGTTACAACGGCTTTAGTGGGAGAAAAAAATATACATGTGAACCAAGATCAATATATGTATGTTTTCAAACCTGGCACTTCATTAGAGAAAACATCCAAAGAAATAGTCTAGCTAGTACAAACAATGTAAACTCAATTGAAAATTAGGGAAAAATAAAAATAAGACATGAAAGCAGGAAGTGCTGCAGAGATTCTGTGTCTGCCTATGGTGGTAAAACCTTAAAAGGGATTATCTCAACAGGAATCACTATGTCAAAGTTCAACTGCAAGAAGTACACGTTGATTCTTTCCCCTAAAATGGAAAGAAAACTGGAGGAAGGACACCTGCCTTATGATATGCAAGACATGATAAGATGAGGAGTCTTTTCTGGTTCCCCTCCCTTGGATTTTGGGGTGTATAACTCATTTCCTAATATTCAAGCTGTCACTTGGTATTCTAAGGGTGCATTCAGTCACTGACAGGCACCTCCTCACACTCGAGCCCCCACCCCTGCTGCTCACCTGCCATCTGGCCCTGGGGAAAGCCAGTCCCTTCACTCCTCAGCTCTTCTCCTGGCTTCAGCTGGAAAGTCACGCCTGCGTTGCAGATCGGATACTCTGTTTGTGGAGGAAAGGTACATGGATTTTGAGTCCTGTGCAAATTAACCATTGCTGTTACGAAGTCTAAACCAGGTTACTGAGGAGGAACAAAGAGGGATTGAAGGACAGTCCTGGTAACAACATATTCTAGAGAAACCACCGAAGGCCCTTGACTCAACATGAAGAAAATACAGACTGGTGGCAAAACCAGAGAAGACTGCTAGATGAATATACCCATGACCAATTTCAAAGTCTGAAGTCAGAATACTTAGTTTTCTCAAAATGTGAGAGGTTAATGGCTCCAGAGTGGGTTTAATATTATTTTCAAACCAAACCTCCTCAACATAATTTCCATAAGAGTAATCAAAATGATCATATTTTCAATAATCTGCCCTTTTCCAAATACACTCAACCTATTTTTAAGTATTTGGTAAATTAATTATGGGTGAACAAAATCCAGTGATTTCTCTTCTATAATTTGAGTGTTGGAGACAGAGTTGCAAAATGATATTAAGTTGTGGTCAAGATGACAGTCTAGTGTGGAGATGAAAACAAAATGTAAAAAAAAAAATATTCCTTATGTGAGTTATGAATCAGGACAGTATCTGGAGTGGAATAGTGGCAGCTGTTCTATGTACTTGCTCAATATACGAAGGAATGGACACTTACATATATGAATACTTTCACACACATGCAAACATACATACAAGTTTCAAGACTCACCCACAGAAGCCAGGTGACTGATGTTCTCCAGCATCACATCTCTGTACAGCTTTCTCTGGGGTGTGGCCAGCAGGTCCCACTCTTCCTGGGTGAAGTCAATAGCTATATCCTTGAAGGTCACCGATTCCTGAAACATCATGGACATCCCAGGTTAAACAGAGCACAGTGTGCGGAGGAGGAGGGTTGGGATGATAGCATTGAGGAATGATGGGGAGCTGGGTGTATGCAAAGGTCAGTCTGTGTTTAGGGTTCCATTCAGATCACTGTGAGTGCTGAGCTGCTATCTGCCTATCAGACACATTTTTAGAAGTGTACACACTCTAAATTCATAATAATTTGTTTTAAAGAAAAATCACATGTGGTGTGGTTTTACACAGCCTGAGATTTTTTTCAGTATCCTGATCATTAGGATATCTGGACAGGTGATTATAAAATAGTCACTTATAAATTCATAACACAAACTCTCTTTTCCATTAATTTCAAGTAAATACATAAATTCATCACAGCACAACAATGTCCATGTTGGGATACATTTGTGACATGACCATTGGTTGGATCATGTACATAGAGGAACTTTTGTTTCCTCATCTATAAACTGGTGTCATTGCTTCTAAATGTTGAAACATTTAATATCCTAATGTACGAAATGTTTCTTGTCTAGCAAACCTGCATAAAATACTAGACATTACTCAGAACTGAGCAGGTTTAGCCGAAACAGGTTTGGCTCAGTGGATAGAGCATTGGCCTGCGGACTGAAAGGTCCCAGGTTCGATTCAGGTCAAGGGCATGAACCTTGGTTTCAGGCACATCACCAGTGGGGGTGTGCAAGAGGCAGCTGATGGATGATTCTCTCTCATCAATGTTTCTAACTCTCTACCCATCTCTCTTCCTCTCTGTGAAAAATCAATAAAATATATTAAAAAAAAAAAAAAAAAGAACTGAGCAGGTTTATACAGAGCTTGGTACCAGTAGACATTTTCTGTTTTATTTCTACAGAAATCAGGTGTTCAGAACAAACAACAGTTCAGATGGTCAGCAGCACAAGCCAGGGCTGTGAGGGGCTGTGTTTAAGGCCAGTCCTAGCCTGACCATTCTGTGGAATGAGGCTTCCCATTCTCGACTTTGTCTGGGTCATCATAACCAATTATTACTATTTTCCTGGTAGAATTATCTTGTATTGTTCTAAAAGGATAACAGAAGCCTCATAATTTGGTTCAATCTATGTATTTTTCCAAAAATTTACCAAGGACCCAGCTGTTTCTCTACCTACTATATCCCTTCTCCTTCATGGGTGCCACAATTAAGGAAATCCTACTCCCTGCCCATTAATTTCTATGAGGTAAAAGTGGGATTCAGGGGTAAGAGAAGGAATTGTAGTTTTAGTTACACATCTTATAAAATTTCAAAAGTGCAAATGCGTTCTTATCATTGTCAGTTCAAAAAACGGGGAAAATAAAAATAATTTATCTATTGTCTTGCTCCTCTCCACACTGAGCAGCCCTCACCTTGGGTCTTGAAACACTGGATTAATTGTACTCATGTGCTCACACAGGTGCCCCCACAATGGACTATTATGTTCTATTCTTTGTGGGTTTCTGTCGCTTGCAAGCATCATCACCCCAAGCTCATTTCAACCAAAGACATGGATAGTGTGTTTGAGGTTGGCCACTGACCCTATGGAATGGATTGAAGAGAACTTCTCTGATCTCTTCTGTAAACAAGCAAGGCTAGTGTAGCCTGTCATAAATCTGTGCAATGTTGAGAAGGAGATTCCCTATTGATGAGTTCCTGACCGCTGATATCTATCCCGTTATTCTAGGCAAACCTAATTGGAACTCAGATGCCTGAACACTACCTGGTTATACTTAAGACACCCATGCCAATACCGTGTTTCCCCAAAAATAAGACATCCTCCGAAAATAAGACCTAGCACATGGAAAGATAAGACATCCCCTGAAAATAAGACCTAGTGCAACTTTGGGAGAAAAAATTAATATAAGACATTGTCTTATTTTTGGGGAAACAGGGTAGGAGACATTTGCCCATCTAAAGGCCCTGGGATGTAATTTCCATAGAAAGACATATTCTCTACTCACCTGTGGCTCCATGGTCAATGAACTAGTCGCCAGGTGTCGTTCTCTGGGTTTTCACCCACAGACAGTCCAAGCACTAAGGAAGGAAAGCTGGGGACAGAGAAAAAGCCATGAGATGCTAGTCTTGTGCATAATTTCCAGACCCATCTGTCAGAAAGGCCCAGTGTTCACCTGGGTATGTTCCCTACTTCTGGCCTAACAAAGTGAAACCGGTGTTGAACTCTCAGAATAACATGCCAAGATCTCTGCTCTTTAGGGTCAATTGCAATAGGGCTGTAGCTGTGGTTGCTATAAAGAAGGTCAAATTACAGATATCTTACAGAAAGGAACAAGATGAATATTGAGTGTGATATGTTAATGAGCCTATGGCATCTACAATTATTCAAGTCCCTCCCTGAATCCAAAGTGTATAGATCCGTGACTCATGCCTTATGTAGACATTGGTTTCCACCTGCAGGTAAGCACTGTGGAATTTCTTAGGTGTCATTATTATTGCCTTATGCACCTGCATGGTTCTCCAAGCAGTTAAGCCCTTAAAATCTCCAACATCAGAAAGTAGCAGGAGGACATACACTAGTCACAGAGTTAATGTCATGTATTGCCTCAGTTCTCAGGTCAAGAGGGATCAGAGAGTAAAGAATGGCTGGGCTTGATGAGGAAATCTACTTGATCCATCTGGTAACTGGTTAAGTGGTAGCTGATACCCTCAAATCCAATTCTGTACTTACATTCCTTAGCTAATGACTATGTATTTGTGTGTGACAGAAAAGGTTTACAATCTATAATTTCTCCCCTAACCAATCAGAATTAAATGTATTTTATGGACAAATAATGAAAACTGATCATAAACAAAGAACAATTAATTCACACATTTCTACTTGAGGCCTAGGGGGAAAAGTTAAATTGGGATTAAATGTGATGGTGCACTTACAGATTTACATATTTCCTTACTATATTTCCACAATAGTCATGCTAATTATGGTTTATTTACATATTTTAAAATGTCATATACATAGGTTCCAAAATCTCTAGTGACATGACAAAGCTCTACAACTAGAAAATGGAATAGCTGTCCTTTAATTTTATTGTGTGAGTCCTGGGCTCCAATTCCTTTAGGGTAACACAGCACTAATAGGTCTGACCTGCAATAGTACCTCAGGACCCTCCCTAGGCCTTCCCTCATTAATAATTTCTCAGAAGGAAGACTGGGAAGGGTGGGTGGGAGAAGCTCAACCAAACACTTTTAAGTATATATATATATATATATATATATATATATACACACACAAAAACAAGACACGGACAGTAGAGTAGTGAAGGCCTGGGGTGGGGGAAGGGCAGCTCAGAAGAGATCAATGGGGGAGGGAGGAAGGGGGACTTATGTAATACTTTCAACAATGAAGACTAAAAAATTAACAGAAGTCACAATTCCATTGAAATTCAAAGGTGAAGAATCATTTGGATATCATTATACAAGCTGGAGGAAAATGTGGGTGATGTTCTCTCACCCACATGAGGTATCGGAGAATGCCTGGAAAGAATCCAGCCATGACTCTCAATATGGAGACTCTTTTTAAAAAATATATATTTTATTGATTTTTTACAGAGAGGAAGGGAGAGAGATAGAGAGCTAGAAACGTCGATGAGAATCATCAACCAACTGCCTCCTGCACACCCCCTATTGGGGATGTGCCCACAACCAATGTACATGCCCCTGACCGGAATCGAACCTGGGACCTTTCAGTCCGCAGACCGACGCTCTACCACTGAGCCAAACCGGTTTTGGCTCAATATGGAGATTCTTTTTAAAATATTGCAAAACAAGAGATAGACTTAGAGAAGACCTTTGTAATCATACCCAGAAGGCAATGTCACCATAATTCTTCTTTTTTAAAAAAAATATATTTTATTGATTTTTTACAGAGAGGAAGGGAGAGAGATAGAGAGCTAGAAACGTCGATGAGAGAGAAACATCGACCAGCTGCTTCTTGCACATCCCCTACCAGGGATGTGCCCGCAGCCAATGTACATGCCCTTGACCGGAATCGAACCTGGGACCTTTCAGTCCGCAGACCGACGCTCTACCACCGAGCCAAACCGGCTTTGGCCAATGTGACCATAATTCAATGGTCACATAGAGACGGTGCCAGAAACTTGGGAGGATGTATATTACCAGAAGGAAATAAAAGTAAACCTATTCTGTGGTGGACTCCAGTGTGGAGGTATTTGAAACTTATCTCTGGGAATGGAATTAAATTTATTTTAAAACTATTGCTACAGTAACAATCTTTAGAAGAACTAACAAAACATACATAATAGTTCTAAACTATTCATTAGTTCCTGCAAATATACTGACCATCTTTTGCCTAAACCAGGGAGAGGGACACGTGTCCTAGTGACGTCAGGATGACACGTGTATCCTGGCGTAGACACAGCTGATATTCACATCCAATTGTCCTGGAGGTCAATTCCTCCCAGTGTTACCAACAACAATCAAGACTTAACTACAACAAGGCTGTACACGCAGTCCACAAAGGGAGCACCAAGAGTGTCTACCTCAGGTTACTGGGGAGGCTGACCCACCGGGTCATATAGGACACCAAACACATAAAGCCACCCTACCAACTCTGGGAAGCAGCGGAAATGAGGAGACAAGGAAACAGATCTCAAACAAAAGAAATGGAGAAAAAAAGACTGGTTATAGAGTTCAAAACCATGGTTATAAGGTTTTTCAAGAATTTCCTAGAAAAGGCTGATAAATTTAACAAGACCCTTGAGGATATGAAAAAGGACCAACATAGAAATACAGTTATCTTATGCATAAGCACAAAGGGAACAAAGCTAAAGCAATATTCATGAACAATTATGTTAATTTTTAAATGATTAAATATGTTAATTTTTTATTTTTTTAAAAATATGTTAATTTTTAAATGATTAAAATAAATATAAGCACATATCTCAAGACATTTGAGAAACAAAATGAAAAAATGTCACATGATGAAACACATGAAAGGAAATTAATTCAGAGAAGCAAAAAATAAAGCATGTACAAGTATAAAAAG